TATAACTAAATTGCAGTTAGAATGAGAAAATAGTTTATAAAAACTGCCATTCTCAGCATTTCATCTCTGAACGATCGTTTGCGGCTAAAATATGCAAATTTTAGACGCTGTTATTCAGCTTTTTTAACGATCGTTAAAAGCTACTACGGGCCGTTAAAACCTAGACCATTTGCACTCATTTGGAAGTATATTGCTTCTTCTTGCTGTTTCAATTTAGTCGTATCTCTCTGTAATCAGCAAAAACAGGTTATCTTTATTCTCGTAATTCAATTAAGTAAGAAAACTGCACCAAAAGATTTGTATTTGTATTTATTCATTTGCCACACGATTACAATTACAAAAAGATGGCAAAAAAAAAATGTAGGAAGAAATGGCGAGGAGGCCTAAAGGAAACTATAAAGCTTATGTTAATTAGGCCTCCTCAATTACAATTTTGGAAGATGGCATAAAAATTATGGAGACGGATACAAAATAATATAGGGTGGAAAATTAAAATAACAATCAATATTACGGAAGTTTACAAATGTTGAATAATAAAAGGCTTTTGGAGTATACTAATAATTTTTACAAATAAATGCCTTAAGTGTTCTTTTAAAAGAAAAAGGTGAGGAAGCGTTGATGATGTTTGTGTTTAAGGTGTTGTAAAATTTAGGTCCTTGATAAAAAACGGAAAATTGTTTGGCTCGACTAAGACAGAAAGGCAGACGAAATTTACACGAGTTTCTTGTATTATACGAATGAATTTGACTTTGTAAGGTAAATTGACAATGAAATTTTAATGGTAGAGTATGGTTTTGATAGGAGTACATGAATAAGCCTAGTTGCATTAAGTATATATCATGAAATTTTAAGATACCAAGATTTTGAAAGATTGGATCAGTATGCGCATCGAAAGTGGTTTTAATAGCTATAGTTCTGATCACTCGTTTCTGTAAAATCTCAAGACGAATAAGGTTAGTTCTGTAAGTAGAGGCCCAAACTAAGTTGCAGTAAAAAAGTATGGATAGACTAGAGAAAAATATAGTGTTCGTAAGGTATAACAGATTATAACACCAAAGCTGTCAATGTTGATGCATACCAGAAAAGGGACAACAATAGTGACACAGCAGGAAAAGGTTACAAACGAAACCCGACAACAGATGAACAATTTATTTCAAAGGCGCTGGTCTGTTCGATCCTTCTGTTGTCGAGAAAGCATCTTTAGTTATTTGCGACGGGCAGGTTTCATTTTGAGCCAAGCCAACTTTTACTCGATACACTTCCTAAAAGTTCGACACTTCCCTGGAAAAATCGACAATAAACCGCTTCCTGGAGTTTTTCTTGAAGCTGCTCTCCCGCTACAAGAGACTTTCAAAAAAGTCCTTCGTCCGATTTTTTATGGCGCGCGACCGCTCGCGAATTTGTAGCTCGCTTGGCCGCTTGGCGGCCTAAAAAGCTCGCTCCGCTCGCTAAGAAACTCGTGAAACTCGATTTCGCGGTAGTTTCATTGGGTTTTTCAGAAGCTTTGTCATCTTTTAGCCATTTTCTTCATTGTAGTAGGAGCCCTTGTCGCCCTCTGCTAATTACGAAGCCCACAATTTGCAAAACGATTTTGTCATCTTCTTTCGTCTTGGAGTCGAGGACGAAAACGGACAAGCTCTTTTTTCTTCTTTGGAGGCATTCACTTCCAAAATCCAGGGACGAACAGTGAGCACTATACTAAAATCGATTTCTGTCAAATTGCGTGATTAGCTTGGTTCAGCAGCGGCATACGTATCAAGTATGACAGGACTTGTCAACGATCAATTAAAATAATTAGCATAGAAAAAACTTTTGTGCTCCATAATTCTGCACAGAAAAAACATTTTTTCCTGGATTTTTTTTTCAAAAGAAAGTTCTTGATGAGCTCTACTTACTCATCTAAAAATTGAAAATTTCGAAAAATGATGATTGTTTACCCTGGATGATACCTGAAGGTTAAGCCTCACCGCTCTTAACTAACTCGTGGTCAGCCTGAGTAATTGTACTTTCTAGGATCGTATCATACCTTTGAGGTGATCGTTGACCCCAGGAAAAAAAAGGCTCAATTTTTAATATGAGAATTTTTTTGTTTTGTCTAACTTAGAAATAATATGCAACTTTGATGTTTCAATGTGCGGTTTCGTGCAAGGCGATAATGACAAGTTTGACTGGACTCGACACAAGGGAAGCACACCTTCTTCTGGTACAGGACCTTCCTTTGATCACACCACTGGAAACTTGACAGGTGAGCTCTAAACTAATTCATCAGTACATCTAGCCAGTCCTACTATTGGCAACGAGAATTGTAATAACGTATAACAAATTTAACAGTCTGTTGGTAGGCATTTCTACTTCATTTTCTTCATGAAAATGTCGCTAGTTTTAGCACAGGCAGCCCAAGCGCATTATTTGTGGGTTCGGGTTTCAGAGGTCATTTGGTCGGAATATACTAGAATTATTAGTGTAATATTTGATGCCAAATAAATGCAAAAATCTTAAAGATATGAAGTCTTCTTGTTTGTCTATCTGTACTATTAGCCTTTAAGATAACGAAGGTCGATATTTCTCGCATTATTACATGTGATTCGGCCCTTATTGTTCGAATTTTATCACATGTATTCGAATCTACGACGCTAAGAAAAAAAATCATGATCACGCAAAATGTTGATTCAAAAAGCTCCCTTACCTTTAGTTCATAGCCACTCTGTGTCCTACGGCCGGTTTAAACTCCGTTTAGTCGACTTTCTTTCCATCGAGTACTGAACACTACTGAACACTATAGTGTTCAGTACTCGATGGAAAGAAAGTCAACTAAACGGCGTTTAAACCACATTGATCGCGCAAAATTGTTCGATCGTGCCGAATCACTGCCACGTCGAGAAAAACAGAACCAAGAGTCATTGGTATACTACTCCATTGTAAGCAGTCCGTTGATAAAAAGGGAAAGTAAACACTTCCATTTTCTAAAAATATCCTCGAACACAAACAGTTCAAAAACATGGCATTTACAGGATCTAACTCGTACTAGTGCCTCTCTAAGTCCGTTGAGAACAATCTGGACGAGCGAAACGGGTCGTGTTTATCGTTGCCGTGAATCAAGATAAAGACAAGAAGGAATGTAGCCGAATTTTATAAATTTTCCTTCGCCAGATGTTCAGTTTCGTCACGAAACTCATGGCCATGCTGTTGTAATCATTTAAAAAAAAATTACAGGAACATTAAAATGCTACCAAGGAACCGTATTCTTAGTTTAGTATTGAAATAATTCCCGGGAAATACTTGCATGCAACAACAACAACAACGGCAACAACTTTATTTCAGTATTCCCACGCCGAGTTAGTACATGGTATTACCTATTATTCCATATAATTTTCAATGCGTTTCATTTATACGATATTCTAACGAAAAGAGCGAAAAACACACAATTGAAATATCTGAGTTCATATTTTTTGTCTGGATACTTTTATTTGGCTCGTGGGAAAATTTTGTCCATGTCAAGCTCACTTACGGTTGGCTGTTTGCCAAGTTGGATCTTGACCCTGTGACATGAAAACATAGAAACATTCAAAGATCAGTGAAAGATGTAAGTTTAGATAACAGAGCTTGGAAATCGAGCTTGAAATGTGCCTCAAAGAAAACAAGGACAATTTAAGAACCATAATCTGCAAAATGTTGGTTGCTAAACGCAACAAACCTAATTGAAATGAAAGTTAAATACTCACGTTTTCGCCACAACGCCAGACCAGTTTCACGTCGCAGACGGGACCACGACGGCAAGGTGGTGAGCACGAGCATGCGCAATATCCAACAAATGATGATGTCACGTCCGGTTGAAGTTGCCGTCGCCCCGAAAACGTCTCTATCTTAAGTTCCCTGCCATTACAAAGACCGCTGATAAGCGGACACTGTAAATCCACGTAAAAAAATTCCACGGGCAAACAATTTCAAAATAACGCCAAAAAATTCTTTTGTAATCACCGTAGAACGATTCTTAATACAAAACTTTACTAACTATCAAACAATGGCTGAGATTTAGACAGATAAAAAACAGCCTTCCAAAATCTCCGACAGAACTTGAAAAAGTCGGCCCGACTTTTTAAAGTTTGTTTTCATTGACTCGCGCATGCATCAGGAGTGACATAGCCCCTTTAAACTGCTCGTTTTTGTTTGTTTTTTTTGTTGCACAGGTGTATTAAATGTAGGCGAGAGTATTTTTTTTCGACTGCCTCTTCAGATCGGTGCAACTACAAGGTTGCAGTTACTCTTTACATCCTGGGCTTTGTTGTCATTTGCCCTCTTATTCTACCATGAATAATACGTCTGTCTTCAAATAAAAAAATAAAACGAATAAAAGGAAACTTGGGAACTTACTAATAGGTACTTCAGATGATCATTCTACGTCATTTAAGCTGAACTATAACGTTGTTAGAATACTGTTTTAAGTCAACTGGATACTTTTTCAGTGCCTTCTGGTCAATTTTTTTTCTTGTTGGCTCCCTTACATCTTTTCCTCTTTGTAGGTTATTACATGTATTTTTAGAAATATTTAGTCCACAGGAGAGCTGGATGATATGACATAATTGGACCGTCCTTCACCGAAAAAGACTAAGTTGCTACTCTCTAACCATCTTCATCCCTATAAGGTTATTACATGTATATAGAAGCATCCAGTTCAAGACAACCAGGTGATAACGCAAAATTGTACAGTCCTCTAATGAAATTCTTTGGGAATATGTGCCTTCAGTTCTATTACCATATGTCTGGTGCAACTAATGAAAGCCTGAAAGTCAACGTAAGTGGGAACTTAGTGTTCTCTTCACGTGGTGATAAAGGAGGCATGTACATGTGGCGTAAAGCCAGCGTAAATGTATCAGCCATCGAGGGATTGCATAGGGTAAGCCATGCGTTATTTTTGTGTCTCTTCTAATTCAACAACAATAACAACAACCGAATCTTTATTTTTATCAACTCATTGCTTAACAATAAATTAGGATAATGAAAATATTGAAAGTAAAATTAGAATTTAAACTTTAATGACCCCATCAATGGTGGTAAAACGCTGTTCTCTGAGAGCGGTAATTGGGGAAGCCAACCGGGTTGGGAGCCATAAGCCACCAATAGCTCACTTTTTTTGTTAATTTAATTGCCATTAAAGTATAGCAGCGGGTCCGGGAATTTTTTAATAAAAGGGTTCTGAACTTGTGCTCACCGTTGAAAATATGTTACAACTGATAGTTTTCACCGATGCTGGCCATTATTTGCTGTTATTTAGTTAAATTTATATAACCAAGTGAACGTAGATTCCTATCTGCGATCCTTAACTGGTAGTAATTTCAGTTTCACTGAAAGCACCTTCAATAAAAAGACTGTTCTGGTCTGAAGGGTGCGCAGGTCCACCGATCCAGAAGACGTCTTTCGGTTCTCGAGTCTATGTTCTTTTACTAACTCATTGGTCCGAATCTTTACTTTACTAATTCACATTGCTCCGAATCTTACTTTAGCCATAAGTTTCTGTACTTCTGTCTGTAATAAAAAACTAAAAAGTCAACTAGACTGCATCCGTTATAATACTTCATCTTTACCATTAACTATAAATTAAGCACAGATAAGTGATTTACCATTTGGTAACATTATTTAGTCATAGCAAGATTATTCTTTCTTACTCATAGTGGTGCATGTAAGTCCGTAAATGCACAGGCGGCCCAGACGTAGTATGTGTCACTGAATGAATATATTAATATTCACATGGACAAATTAATGCCATGAGTCGTCGAAACTCCCATGAACTAAAATAGTCCAGCAAAACTCAACAAAATGCCACTTAAACCGGCCAGGAAAGACAAGGATACGTTCAGTTGAAGGTATCTTAGCTTTGTTTTGTTATATTTTGACTTTTGGACTATTTTAGTTCATGGGAGCTTCGACGACTCATGGCATTAATTTGTCCATCTGAATATTAATATATTCATTCAGTGACACATACTACGTCTGGGCCGCCTGTGGTAAATGTAGTGCAAAATATATGATGCGCTTGGTGTTTCCAAGAGGATCTGTTTTGCTATTAGCCGACATTTCCTTATTTCTATTGTTAAGTTTGTAGTTTTTTGACAAATTCGAAGATAATTTTTCATTAATTTCAAGACAATAACAACAGCGACTCTTCCGGACTGATTGCACCTTTGACAGGTAACATTTGAAGGCGTAGTGGGAAGCAGTTACACTGGTGACATAGCAATTGACGACTTCTCCTTGACAGCAGGGTCATGTCCTTATGGTAAGTTTATTGACTAAAGGGTGCACTGTCACCTATTTTGAAAGTTAAAAAAAAGACGTCTTTGCAAATTTTGAGAGCTTGAAGCGGGACCGGGGCACGTGAAAAGCAAATAGACAAGATGTTAAAGGGTTCTGTTTTCTTTTATTCTTCCCGCTTATCTCTCACCTTTTCATTTGTTGCTTCACCTACTTCGACTGCAACTATTGGCGAACTTGAAAGCTGTTTTTATATACACCATCCGTAGTCCGTGTTTTATACTCAGTCAGTAGTTTCTAGTCTACATTTTATACCTAGTCCGTGTTTTACAAACAGTCCACAGTCCGTTGTCCACAGTCTGCAGTCCGTCTTTTATACTGCCCGGTTCGATTAGGTTCGATTGAGTTCGATAAAGTTCGATTACCGAACAGTTTGAGTGGTTACGTCTGCATTTAAGAGGCAATGTCCCTAAAAGCGTTCCACTCCATTTCAGACTCGAAAACACTTTTGCCTTATATTTTTATCATTAATACCACTATCCATCCTTATAACTAAATTGCAGTTAGAATGAGAAAATAGTTTATAAAAACTGCCATTCTCAGCATTTCATCTCTGAACGATCGTTTGCGGCTAAAATATGCAAATTTTAGACGCTGTTATTCAGCTTTTTTAACGATCGTTAAAAGCTACTACGGGCCGTTAAAACCTAGACCATTTGCACTCATTTGGAAGTATATTGCTTCTTCTTGCTGTTTCAATTTAGTCGTATCTCTCTGTAATCAGCAAAAACAGGTTATCTTTATTCTCGTAATTCAATTAAGTAAGAAAACTGCACCAAAAGATTTGTATTTGTATTTATTCATTTGCCACACGATTACAATTACAAAAAGATGGCAAAAAAAAAATGTAGGAAGAAATGGCGAGGAGGCCTAAAGGAAACTATAAAGCTTATGTTAATTAGGCCTCCTCAATTACAATTTTGGAAGATGGCATAAAAATTATGGAGACGGATACAAAATAATATAGGGTGGAAAATTAAAATAACAATCAATATTACGGAAGTTTACAAATGTTGAATAATAAAAGGCTTTTGGAGTATACTAATAATTTTTACAAATAAATGCCTTAAGTGTTCTTTTAAAAGAAAAAGGTGAGGAAGCGTTGATGATGTTTGTGTTTAAGGTGTTGTAAAATTTAGGTCCTTGATAAAAAACGGAAAATTGTTTGGCTCGACTAAGACAGAAAGGCAGACGAAATTTACACGAGTTTCTTGTATTATACGAATGAATTTGACTTTGTAAGGTAAATTGACAATGAAATTTTAATGGTAGAGTATGGTTTTGATAGGAGTACATGAATAAGCCTAGTTGCATTAAGTATATATCATGAAATTTTAAGATACCAAGATTTTGAAAGATTGGATCAGTATGCGCATCGAAAGTGGTTTTAATAGCTATAGTTCTGATCACTCGTTTCTGTAAAATCTCAAGACGAATAAGGTTAGTTCTGTAAGTAGAGGCCCAAACTAAGTTGCAGTAAAAAAGTATGGATAGACTAGAGAAAAATATAGTGTTCGTAAGGTTTTCGTAGATAAATAGAAACTGGATTTACGAATAATTCCTGTGCATTTAGAAACTTTAGTGGCGACATGTGAGATTTCAGATTTCCAATTTAAATTTTCATCCATGATTACTCCCACGAAAACTGTTTTTCTATTACCTGATCAATTTTTTGGCTATTAATTAAAAGTTCAATAGTTTGATTTGTACGCTTTTGGCATGGTTTAAATGCAATGAATTTGGTTTTTTTCAAGTTTAATAAAAGCCTGTTAGCTCTAAACCATATTGACAACTTATTTAGCTCAGCGTTCGGTATATTAGTCAGGCAGTCTTTATCCTTGTGAGACACAAATACGTTTGTATGATCGGCAAATAATATCAATTGTAATATTGTTGACGTGTTGATTATATCGTTGATGTAGAGCAGAAAAAAGGCCCTAGTATTGAACCTTGAGGAACGCCACACAGGCTATTAGCACGAGACGAAACATAACCATTGTATTCTACAAAT